ATAGAATTATCACAAATTTTACTATCATCCTTCATTTTAATTTTCAGTCACCTTTTTTCAGTGGAAGAAATAAGAAAAGGTATGGGGGAGTTAAATTTGCATGAAAGGATAGAATTATAAGAAATTTTACTATCATCCTTTGTTGTTTCTTTTAGTTATCATATTTCTTTGAAGGAAAAAATAAGAAAATGTTACTCGCATGAATGATGGAAGATTTGAATAGCAAATAAGAAGCTATATGTCAAATTTTCGTAAAATTGTTTAGGTCATCCTGGCTACTTGTCATGTACAACGTCAGGGCGATTGTTTTTGTAGTAACAACAAAATGAAAAAAAAACCTTAATTAGTATGACATTAAAGTGTTTGTGCTTTTTCTTCTTCTTTTGAATGCCATAAAAGCAGGACTTACCTCTCAGGAAAAGGAATTAGTATTATGCGTATAAGGAAACAAATTCTGATCTTATCTGTCTTCAAGTGGAAATACATGTATGAACTATCCTAAATTGGGAATGCCGGAATGTTTAGAATATCATGCCTTGTAACTGTCCATAATACATTCTACAATATTTATTTTTAAATAAAAATTTTGTATCCGATATTTGAAAATAAATTATTAGTTTATTATTCTGATTCAGACGTAGTCATCTCGTTAATAAAATAAACATTCAATTTCGGTAAATTTTTTGCAATATGGAAACCTCCAAACATGAGTAATTTAATGTAACAAATCTATAGCGAATAAGAAACCTCTGTTTTATATTTCATTTATGATTTATACACGTTCATAATTTATTTAGAGATCGTTAAATGAATGTAAAGGGACCTAGTCTTGCCAAACTAGTACAAGTCACGCACGTTTATGTATCATGTATCGAATACACCAAAATGTATACGTCATTTGTTGAAAAAGTTTATAAAATAAATTAGGTACCAACTGGGGTCAAATAAATGAGGTCATCGAATAAACAGTAGGTTGTGCCAAAAAGGCATGATTGTTATTTATTTTTCTGACATAATATATATTGGATATATATATACGCATAAAATGGTGAAGTCAAGAGAAGGGTGACAGGAAAGGAAAGGTTTCTACCACTCGACCTCAAAAGCCTGGACTTTGATAACACTTCGTGAAGATCTTACAAAGAAACCTTTTCAGACGTCTTGGCAGTGGTAGTAGACCTACGCTGTAAAAGATGGAGAATTTAATAGCGTAGCTCATACTTTCTGAGAATAGGTATATAAAAAATATAAAAATAAGGAGATTTGGTATGATTCAAATGACATAACTTTCCATAGTAAACAACTACAGGTCAACTTATGGCCTTCAACAATGATAAATCTCAAACCGTATTGTAAGCTATAAAAGGCTCCTAATGGCAAAATGTGAATCAATTCAAAATGGAAAACCAAAGGCCTGATTTATATCATAACAATAAACGGAAAACAAATACGACAGAGAGCAACACATGACATCAACTGGATTACAGGTTCCAGACTTAAGACATGCGCAAAGAACGTGATGCATCAGGCTTGACATGTTTGTGAGCGTGTCCTCCCCGTACTAGGTACAGTGATGTAGCAAAAACACATAAAAACAAATTGTAAAAGCAGTTGAAAAAAAGAATTGCCTCATCAGATCAAGGCTTGGCACAAAACAAATAACTAAAAGACAGCAGAAAGATTGCATCGATCTAAGACTATTCAATTCCAAATTTTAAAAGGTACTATGAATTAAAAACATAAATTAATTTTTCAATCAGTATTACTTCTAACTTGTTTATACTTTTTTCAGCTAAACTCTTATATTTTTCAGATTTGATCTATCAATAACTTTTTATACCATATTTTTACAGCTAAACTCTTATATGTTTAAAATTTCATCTATCAATATCGTTAATGTATTTTTTGTCTATGGTCAGCCAACAATTACATGGTCAATTGCAATGGAAAAGGCCACATAACTAGTACCACATTACAAAAAGGCATCCACTCAGCACGGCAGTACAAAAAATAAGCTAAACATGCGAACTCTCACATCATACTAAAGATACATGTACATTAGATAGGAAGTTGCAGTGGGTGGCTATAGATTGAAACTATAATCTTTATTACATTTAAAACATTATACGTCAGTGGGTTTGATAGAGAGTTATAATCTTCATTATTCTAATAATACTTTGCACACTAAAGTAAATATATATATCCGCATATTTTCTGTATCAAATCTATTAAATTTAATATTGTTTTCAGAAGATACCGCCATGATTGAAAACTATTTACAAACATAAGATATTTAGGAACCCTTCAGTGGTTTTCTTTACATAGGTGTAAAAGCAATTATCATAATTGCAGATACATAATGACAGTTCAAATGACCCGGAAATATTTAACGTTGACCCGGAAACAAATCGGGGTGATTAATCTCTGTTAGTGTTTCTGTATTATCTGGGTAGGCACTAGAAATGATCTGTTTTACACATGTTAGCAGAAAATAACACGGTGTACTTATATTATAAACGTACATAATTATTTGAGTGTCTGGGACAGTAGTTCGATATTTTTGAACCGAAATGGCCTCGAAATAATTCCGTTGCATAGTTATCAATATGCCGACCACCCATTGCATTTTGAAAAAAAGAAAGAGAAAATGGAACGTTTAATTTGATCATTTCTTTATTACCATTTATGCCTCTGTTGATCTGTGAAGACGAAAAAATAGGATAGAGTTGCTCTTTTGCAGGAATCAAAATAAAAACTACATATAGACAGTTTGTCTTGGTATATTTAGGATGTGTATGCGACTGAAAACATGTTCTTATTATTCCTGTCCTTTGTGCTCGTCCAATTATGAAATGCCGGACGCCATCAATCAAGGACTACTTAACACTAAGTTCCAATATGCGTTTTTATCTCAGGCTTGGAGTTACAAGTCTCGAGTTTATAAGAAGGTCCATAGCTAAAAGTATAGATCTCTTTCAGGAATGTTTGGAAAGATTTACCAGATTTCTAATGAGAATACATGAAACTAATGGAATTGATACGTCTCAAATTTAAACCTCAGAAGTCTGTCACAGTTCCAAATTTGACGGTTAGCAATGAAATTATACATGTATGAATATATCTACTTCAGTGTAGAAAATGCATTTGACTCTCGTTTAGCTGTCTGCTTAGAACATATTGCAGTAGGTTTTTTGCGATAATCCAGACATATAATGTTGGCGTTTTTTCCCAAGCCGAATATTTTGCAATTATCTTTGTTATCTCTTTTAAAAGAGTTTAATTAAACCAGATTATAGCACTTATCAGTATTTTAAAACTGTAGCTTCTTATGTTTTCTTAAGAATGTTACCTCCTGAGATAATGTTTTCAGGTGGTGATCTCGTTTCTCTCTCATCAGCAAATAACAGGTTTTGATAAACCATACCCCCAGCGTCTAATCAAATAATTTTGGAACCGAGGCTTAAAAAAGAAGTTTGACCAATTCGCAATTGTATCGTACAAGCACAGCATGCCATGCCTTATGTGAACGACAACTTTTGTGAAATTGTTTTATACATAGTTGGTAAAATTGTACAATGTGCATACATTTCTGTAATACATTTATAAATTTCAATGACATTGCAATACTGCCTAAAACCCTACACCTCTATATATAAAACAGAAAACATCTTTCACAGGTTATGAGTCGACAGACTTATGTACCCCTTTATAGCATTTGCAAAAGTGAAAAGAGATAAGGATGAGAATATATTTTTGTTTTAAAGTTAATTACATTTTCCTTGTTTATGTTTATAATCTTTTCTATATATATAAATATTTTTTTTTTAAATCGATAGAAAGCGCGTACAAGGAATATATTTAACTTTGACGACGGAATGCATTCAAATAGGAGGTTCAAAATAAACAAAATAGTGGAGTTAGTGTAAATAAAAGACTACTAATAGAAAATCAAACGGGTTCTTTAAATTTTTAACCGCAAGAATGCGTTACATAATCGTTGATTTAAAGAGATATGTGCGAGGTGATACACCTGTAAAGGCTTCCGTAGACTACTGTTCAATAACGATATTAGCGCTCATTAAAAGAAAGTCACAATAATTACATCTACACTTAATAGGCTATAGTTTGTCCTTTTCCTTTCAACCACGATAATGTCTGTTATTTTTTTACCTTTAATTTCTTATTGGGTTTAAGTAAGCTTCTTTTTTTTCTATTATATCAGTCGTGATAAAACACAGTAAAGATATAGATTTTTATCATCAATAAAACAGCATCAGAAAATTTAAAGTGAAAAATATTTGATATTTTTGCACACACCAAAATTATAATAACTTTAACGACGGTACCAATTTTCTTCACCAGATGCGCATTTCGACAAAAAATGTCCCTACAGTGATATTTTTGCACACACCAAATTATAGAGTGTTATTTTTATTTCAAAAAAAAATAATTTGGATTTCAAACCCGACATAAAAATCAAACACAATACTAAGAACAAATCCAAGATGGCATTATGCATTGTGCTCTGTCTGGTCGGATGGCATACAAAATACACATAAATAAACAGAATAACATAATCTATAATATAGTTAATTCTCTCTGTTCGTTCTACATCCAAGAAAAACAATGTCTTAGCAAGTTTATACTTTATGTAAACTACAAATCATTTTGGCAGACATTTCATATCCCCACGCTGAGATCTTACCGAATTTACCCAACTAAAACAAGCTTAATCTGCTATTATCTTTAAATTTTAGCTAGGATCTGACATTCTCTTCCAATGGCGCTTTTCAATTTACAAACTTAAATTCAGAAAACAGGTACCAAGTAGAATGTTTACTAGCGTGGTGGTTACTGAAGGAATCCTGTGTAACTTCTTACAAAGTTTATTAGATAAGAAAAGAATTGTTTGAATCGTTTAAGCATGTATGTAATATGTAAAAATCAACAGACTTGAAAGTTAATATATAATTTCAATTAGGTATGAAAAAAAAACTTACTTGAGAATTTCATCCAGCGCTATCTGCCTTTGAAATTTTGATAAATTCCATTATTGAACACATTTTTGAAAATAAATTAATAATCGGTCCTTGTCATTAAAACTCTTTGTATTGCAAGAGATGAAACAAGCATCACCATACTTGTAAGCGCGCAAGCGTGTTAAGACATACTGCCACGTGATACAACTGATAAATGGAAATATACAGAAAAAATATAATGCTTAAACAAAGTATAAACAATATAGGCTTATTGTCCCTTTAACTAAAAGTATATGATTTTAAATATAGAGCGCAAGCATCAACCAACATAAATTTATTTATTTAATCTTATTAAGTATCATCAAATATTGATTTGGATTTTTGTTTCTTGAAATATCAATTGTCAAATTTATTTGTTTATTTGTTTTTTTGTTGTTGTTATACAAACCTGATAGAAACGCTTATTTTAAATAACGGACAATACTGTACATTCCCCTTCCGGCTAATTATTCTTATTTCATTTTTTAATATTTTTTCAAGATTCAAATACATTTAATGTAAGTTTATGAAGATCAAGCATACAGTATGCTATAATCAAATCATATTTGCTATTTTAATGCACATAAACCAGTTCTCTACGTAATCGTCGACTTTTTCAATTAAAACGATTTAACTGTAAAGTTTTTTCCCGTCTGCGTTACAAGATAATCTAATCTTGATCTTAATTAATCAATGCAATTGGACAACGTATTACGTTCAAGCTAAGTCATACTCTACTAGATTGTATTGTGGCAAAATATTTAAAAACTCTTGCATGATATTGTTTATAAATTTATTACTTCAAAGTGCATATTCTTGTGTCATATAATATTTACATTTCGCATAATCGATAAATTTCTAAAATTCCTACCCGAATTTTATACCAGAGGTGCATTCCTCTGTTAAATGCCGAGCTGTAATCCAATCAGAGTGGTGTCACAGTATATATCCCTATACAAACTATTAAGATATGAAAGGTAAAACTTCTTAAGGGTAGTATTTCTTGTTATAGCCCTTACTTAACTATGAAATAGTACTCCGAGCAGTACTTTCAGGTACGAAATATAATATTTCATTTTTGGTTTTCTTTTTCGTCGTGGTATATACGTAGTAAAATTTAGCTAATTGCTTTCAATTTTGAACGGAAAGACCCATAATTTAATGGAGTTAGGATAACATTACACTATGTCATTCTATAGCATATTTGATTAAATATTCTGCATGCCTTATTTGTATTGTTGTATGAAGAATGTTTCCGTCTTAAGGAGTCCTCGTATTACTGAACAAGTAGTTAAAATATACTAATTGGCATTTGAATGTAAGCAGAATAATAGATTAAATTATTTCGTTTGTTTCAAATTCAACGTTTCGATATACTTGTGAGAACGTGCATTTTCCCTTTTTAACGACGTTTTTATGAGCATTAACAAATAAGGAAAAGCATGTTCTATCCGTGTGACTCCGGTGATAAACTGCATATCATGCATATTTTATACGCATGCAATTCTATATGCATTCAATTTCATATTACCAGAGAACGACACGTCTCAAGTGTGAATACTTCAATATGAGTGCTCAATTACATCAACTGTGATTAAACATCTTCATGCCTGTTAGGAAAAAAATTACTAGTCCGTGGTTCCTTTGACAGGGACGAACGCGTCTTGTTTCAGAACTACTGTCTGTACAAGTTATTAGATCTCTGTGGATTGATCGATCGATAGCTAGAAAGTTCCAGTGCAGAATAGTTTATGTATATCAAAAAGTCACAAATTTCATTAAATACCTAAGTTATGGCGAACATTTATATCCTTTTATTCCAATGTTATACATGCATACAAAATATGCGTGTGCTTACCCCGCTGTCCTCCCCACCCCCCCAAAAAAAAATATTTGTAAAAATGTGGAATTTTAGTACCAGTAATTATTCGTGACGAATCCCCTTTTCTTAACCAGACAAAAAGACACAACAAACCAATTTTAACTAAAAACCAAATATTATGAAAATGACACAAAAGTCTGAAACAATCGTGGTAAAACCTAACTATTAACAATTTAACAGCCGTAAGTATAATATCTGTCATTATTATACTGATTGCTATTCTACTTATATAGATCGTACCTATTTGGATGTGTAAACACTGATTTTGACCAACTTCTGATTATAGCGAACCACTTATATAGCAGGAGTTTATGGAAAAAAAAACAGTTAATTGTAACTAAAGTGGTACCTTGACCTTTCAATGATTACTCTTACTGCACTATATCTATAAATACACCTAATGAAAGTTCTTGGAAACAAATGAATCACATTATAATACCGATGATACGTTATTAATACTGTACATGATATCAATTGGAACGTAAAAGGAGGGATAAAATCCATGTCATAGGCATCGATTCTAGATACTTTCTAATTAAACCCCCACTCTAAAAGTCGGGCTATATTGCATCCACCTTATTCGTCCGTCCGTTATCAAACAAATATTTCCATCATACTTTTCTCAGGTACTACTTAACAGAATGACTTCATATTTGGTCAGAATCTTGCTAGGGTTGAGTTGTACCGTGCGAGCACTTTTCGAATTTGTCGGACACTTACTTCTTGTTATCCGATACTTCGAAATACGGGTGGGGGATATGTTTAGCACCACAACGCGTGTATTCTTGTTTAGCTAAACTGTGGTCATTATTGTTCTGATTTCGTGCCTCATGCATGGGCAACGGTATATTGTGATAAAATATACTTCCAATTTTTTAGAGTAGCAGTTTTACAAAAAGGGGAGATTGGCAGCAGTATCATTCCAAAAAAGTGATCCCAAGACCTTTTTTAAAATCTTTGACCGTTATATTTATTATCGGTCAAGTAATTACAACATTCCATAAGATTCCCATAAATTACACGATTTCCAACCAATATAATGAGTTTTTGTTCCAAAGACATCAAATCTTAAATCTAAGAGATATTTCGCCATTACATAAACTTGCATATTATTTCAATATAAAGGAATACATTCCGTCCGTCCGTACATTCATTAATTTTTTTTTTATCCTAAAAATCTGGTCTAGAGCTGATCGCACTGATTGTCATTCCAGGAACAAGGTTCGTGCGCGAACTGAAATCGTTACGTGTATATTCCAAACATCAGTATTGTTGTACCTTTCAAACATATTACGAAACCACTTATCAATGTCAAACAATATTATTTTATTAGTTTCAACAAAACTACGCTTTTCATATTTTACTCTCACCGCATGTAGATAAACATCAATACATACATAGATAAAATAAAATGATTGAACTTTTGATAATAATGAAAACAAGTGAGAGTAAGCGATAAGCGAAAACCTATAAAAATATCTGAACATATTATTTGCTTTTTTTCTTACTTACAACAAGGATTAAAAAATAAAGGTATCAAAATGAATATTTAAATGAACTATTATTTATAAATAAATCAGACGTATATGTACAACCGAAACACAATATATATGAAATTACAAAATAATATTAAAAAAGATTGTGTATATGAGAAAATATTTTAAAATAGCGACTTACACATCAGCTGATTATTCGGGAATCTATAAATCCAACTGTGTAATCCATCACTGATTTAAATCTTATATTAAACCAAAGTTTGGAATGATCTAACCACATTATTAAGTTTAATTAATCCAGTCAGATGTTAATTGGCGTTTCCTACTTCGAGGGAGGTCAGGTGTGGCTCCACACTCAAGACCCACTCACACAGTATGTTGAACGACGACAAAATAGATTTAACTTAAAGGTATATTCCAATTCTCTATAAATAGCTGTTACTATAAAGAGGCGTTATGTTATCTCTGATATGTAAAGCGTCGGTTCGACAAATGATTTTTGCCTTTTAACCTTGTTTACAGATATAACAATTAGTCAATTATTATGACAAAAGATTTATTATTAGTAATCAAAACATACAACGTATTTTATAGCTGTCACAGCTTCGATTCAAATCAAAACAGATGAAATCTATTTCATCGTATTATTGAATGTATTATATTACCAATATAATAATGCATGAAATACCAACAATTTATATTAGTTTATACTCATATCATATCCATATTTCTTGTTTGAACCACGTTTATTTGTTTGTATACTTTGTCCCATTAAAAACAAAATCCTTCAAAACATGGCCCAACAAAATCATAATTTCTTTTGTTTTTTAATACTATTAAAGAGTACTAGACAAAATCATAACTGTGATGAAACTGTGCCCTCATTTTGATAGAAGCCGGTCGCAGTCTTTTTAAAAATGTTTTCTTTAAAATAGCAGCCCTGTCATACTTGTGAAAAATATGAACTGGGCTAATACTATGCCCTTGTTTTTAGGTCAAACCAGTGTTACAAATTATAAACAATGATTTGCTAATTTGTAATGCAAATGATTGTATCTTAAATGAATATGCAAATGTAATGGTAACATTAAATCGGAATACGTCTAATATTCTATACAAAATAGTATGTTTGTACTTTGGGTTCGCTCACCCGCAAATCTTGAAGTTGGAGTTCCCCCCTTTGATCCAGAGGGAGAATAAAAGGGAGGGAGGATTTCTATAACATTTCAAACTGATACTGTTATTAGTCTAGTTTCCAAAATGTATAAAAAGCTTGAAATAAACGCAAAAAATTTAATTAAAGAATATCGGTTTAACTGTATTCGAATCGCCATTCTCCATAAACAGCTCAAAGCAACAACAAAAAACCCCAAAAATATGAAGAGCCACACTTCCAAGAGAGTTATAAAAAGAAAAGCCGAAACCGTATAAACTTAAACTTGACTGAGGCAGTGAAAAGGTTACAAAATTAATAATAAATTTATAGAAATGTTTTGCTTAAAACATGTCCTTCTGATTTAACTTTTAACGTAAAGTTTGATTGATTATGGTCCAGTGACAAATATTTCATGCATATTCAGGCTTAAAACAAGATAACAATACTTACAATGAATATAAGCTCTGTCAAGTGGATCGACCGAGTTTTGTTTTTTTAAATACAACAGGAAAAGAGAGAATATGTTGGATAGGGACAGAAATTTTGCCTTGCAACAGATCACTAGACTTGCTACAATTCCCTTTCTTTTATTTCTTTCTTACTAATTTATATGTTTCTGAAAACTGCCAGTATACTGATTGCCCTTGGAGAAAGGCTTCCTAGATGCAGATGTCAGTATAATGGTAATCTCTTAGTTATAGCAGGAAAATTGTTAAAGGGGCAAAATTGAAAAAAAAAAATAAGGAAGGGACATGTAGCAAGTCTAAACAGATCACCTACGGACCCTTAACGAATTGTTGCAAAAACAGATTGTTTAACATGTGGAGAGAGAGTGGTACTCTCTGTAAATGCGACATCGGATTAATCGTACCAATTTCGACCAGAAGACCAGACAGCCAAACGACGTCGCTCTTTAAAATGTGTTTGATTGCCGTTTGATGTGACCATATTTCTGTACTCTGGTCAACCCTTTGGATATGGTATAGTTTGTTTATAGACATAAAACCGACATATATAAATTACTGAAGGCCGTACTTATGCATCATTTGGACTCTGGTTGATAGTTGTCTTATTTGTATTAATTACGTCAATGGCAAAGTTTTTCTGTGTCTTTTGCATGAATGACAATTTATGCTACGACGTCAGTTTGAGAATGTAACGCAATGATGGCTCAACCAGCTTGTTAAATTGATGGTCTGCCTAAGGCTGAGTGGCAATTTTTTTTATAAATAATTACCCACAATAACAAATTAAATTAAAAATCAAAAAGTTCTGCAAAGTGGTTAAGGACTTGCAATTTGGACTGGACTGTGTAAGCAACTATATAGAAATACCTCCTACACTTGTTTTTATGCTTTTGTTTGATAAACATTATAGATAGCCTGGTGAGAGGTTCGGTATCTTTTGCCTCTCTTGTATAATATTACTATTTTGTCGTTTTGATAACGAGTGTGTTTGGTACAGATAAATCGGTAACGTAGAATATCAATATTTCTTAATTTGCTAACATTCCGTAAGACATTCGAAAGCACCATTTACTGTGAAGTAAATGATAAAAAGTGCTAGAGCTTAAGGTATATTTCTCCATCAAAATATCAGTCATTATTTTGCAAGTTGCTATCATTATTTGGTTTTTGTCTGGTCTAAATACTCAATAAACAGGTTGCCATCATCCTGGACTTTCATTTGACCTCATTTTAGTGCATTTTATCAGACACAGTCTCTCGGGTGAGACTTTTATAATAGAGATTAATTATTTTGTCGGTCAAATAAATATCGGTTTAATACTTAGACAATATTGGCTATCTTTTAAGAACATTACATTACAATCAATTGTATTTATTTGTAATCGTGTCATATTTGGAACAATTAAATACCATAAGTTAACACGAAATCCCGGAACCAGTACTAGTCTTGGAATTCTCTGTGTACATATACATCAAAGGAAAACAAAAGATCAAAGATGACGATGAACAATACACATAGATAGTACAAATACTGTACTTCTTCAACTAAATAAAGCAAGTTTATGCAAACGGAAAACCACGTTTGATTTCCTTCCTATGTATAAACGAGTTGTGGTACATACAATTATACAGAGAATAGTCGACGTAGACGTAAATTTGAAAAAAAAGTACTAGTAGTATAGCTAAGTCTAAGTATTTGCTTGACTGCGGGGACCCGACTACTAAGAAAAGTTTTCAGAATGTGGAGAGTAGTCCAAAGAAAAAAAACTGTTGGAATACAAAGACAATAGGAAAATAAAATAACTCCTTGTTTTTTAACTTAACACCCATTTGTGGGAAAAATTGCTCTGGTGTCATTCGG